AACCAGGAGGATCATTTTTGTTACTACCTGAGCCAAGTGCTCCAAGCATATTAATTCCCTTAACTCTTCATAGCAATTCTGTTGGTGACCTTATGATTTCTATTATACAAATGGAGGCAATGAAAGTTAAGTAGCTGCCCCAAAGTCACACAGGTAGAAACCAAATCAATAAGGGAATTTTATCTCTCTTTCCCTCTTGCTCTATGTGCCCTTGTTTTCATAGTTTAATTACCAACCCTGGGCTGGGGTTGTGGCTCAGTGGTAGAGTGCTTGCCTAGCATGTGTGGAGCACTGGGTTCAATTCTYAGCACTACATAAAAATAGAGGTATTGTGTCCATCTACAACTTAAAAAAAATCATTCTTGGCCCTAGAAATAGTTAGCATGTCTGATTTGGCCGTTGGGATGGCCTGCAGACTCCTTATGGGGCTTTCCATTGAGAATCTGTTCTGTTCAATAGAGTTCCTTCCACTGGAGATCCTACTTCTACTCTTTTGTCTTATCAGCACAATGAACCTGATAACAACTCTGTGCCTTTCATTAGAGGTTTTCAGTCTCCCACTTTTAGCTTCTGCTTAGCAGTCTTCTGCAGTCTTTTTTTTTTTTTTTAAGAGAGAGAGAGAGAGAGAGAGAGGGAGAGGGGGAGAGGAAGAGAGAGAGAGAGAGAGAGAGAGAGAGAGAGAGAGAGAGAGAGAGAATTTTAATGTTTATTTTTTAATTTCCGGTGGACACAACATCTTTGTACGTGGTGCTGAGGATCAAACCCCTGCTACCGCTTGAGCCACATCCCCAGCCCTGCAGTCTTCTTGATGGGGAAACCAGTCACATGGTAGATGACTCTCAAATCTCCTAGGTACTCCAGTCTCAGGAGATGGCCAAGAGCTGTCAGTTTCTCTGTTCATTAGCAGCGACCCTATTTCTTGTCTTATACTTAGAATATCATCATGTTACCAGAGAAAAGGTGGTTGTACATATCAATTTGTATTTCTTAAGCTTCCCTTTCTCTATTGTTAGCCTTTTAAGTCTTTAGTTTCAGTAGCTCATTAGTGCTTTTTTAAAAAATGTTTTTAGTTGTAGATGGACACAATATCTTTATTTTTATTTATTTTTATATGGTGCTGAGGATCAAACCCAGGGCCTCATGCGTATGAGGCAAGCACTCCACCCCACCCTGCTCATTAGTACTTTTAAAATAGACAATTTTACACTTGTATCTGGGCTTTTCTCATTCATATCAGAATTGTGAGTCTGCTAAAGACCTATCTGGAAAGCATAAGCTCTGTTTTCAGATAATTTAAAAACTCCATATTAAGGCAAAAAAAAAAAAATACCTTCAGTGCTATATTTTTTCACACTGAATAAACTTTCTTGATTAACAAACAAAAGACGGGCTGGGGATGTGGCTCAAGCGGTAGCGCGCTCGCCTGGCATGCGTGCGGCTGGGGTTCGATCCTCAGCACCACATACCAACAAAGATGTTGTGTCCGCCGAGAACTAAAAAATAAATATTAAAAATTCTCTCTCTCTCCTCTCTCTTTAAGAAAAAAAAAAAAAAAAAGACAAAAGGGCCACCCAAGTAGTTCAGGCTGAGATTTATAAGCTTCCTTTATCTTGTAATATTTTAAGAACATTTATAAGCTATTTTGACTAAATGAAATATTCAATCATTCAGAATTCAAAAAGTAAAAAAGAACATGTATAAAATTATTCTTCTACTTCTCTCAACTCATCTCTCCACTGGTAACACTATAATTGTTTCTCCTGCAAATACATATGCGTGTGTGTGTATACATATATACACATAAAAAAAAAACTGGTACTGGGGCTTGAACTCTAGAGGCACTTAATTACTGAACCACCTCCCCGTTCTTTTCTCTCTCTCTCTCTCTCTCTATATATATATATATATATCTTTTTTAAAAAACATTTTTTAGTTGTCAATAGACCTTTATTTTTATGCGGTGCTGAGAATCGAACCCAGGGTCTCACATGTGCTAGGCAAGCACTCATCACTATGCTACAGCCCCAGCCCTTTATATTGTATTTTGAGACAGGGCCTTGCTAAATTGCTGAGGCTGACTTTGAATTTGCAATCCCCCTGCCTTCGCCTCCTCTGCCGCTGGGATTACAGGTATGAGCCACTACACCCAGTCCTTTTGTATTTTGTGGAAATACATATAAATTTATTTTCTGGACAAATGATCGCATACTATATATGCTATTGTACACTGKGTATTTTTTATTTAACTTTTATTCTTCTCTTCATAGTTTTTTAAACTGCTATATAGTATCCCATTGTACCATCATTTATTGAATATCTATTATGAATACTAAGGTTGTTTCTAACTTATTATTACAAACAATGCCATCACAAAAATTTTATATGCATGTCATTCAGCACACATGAGACCAGCTTTAAGAAAACCCAAGAGGCAGAACTGCTAAGTTTACCTCCATAGGGATTTTCAATTATCTATTCATACCAAGCAATGCATGCATAACAATGCCCATTTCCCTCATTCTTGCTAAAATTAAAAAGCACCACATACATACACAAAAATGAGAAAATACTTCATCTTTACTAATCTGAAGGGTGGAAAGACGTGATATTATGTACCTTTTTCACATATTTAAGAGACATTTCTGCTTCCTGAGTGTGTCGTCTCTTGGGAACATAGGTGTCTCTAATTTTCCCAGATTTGTTAGTCTTTTTGTGTGTGTGGCATTGGAAATTGGGAACCAGGAGCCTCATACATAGTAGGCAAGTGCTCTACCACTGAGCTTCACCTTAATGAACTGACAGATACTATATATGTGAAATTAGCTCTTTGTGATGAATTGAAAATATTTCTTCCCCCAGCTTGCCTTGTCTTACAACTTTTATGGTAGGTTTCACTTTTTTATTTTTGGTACCAGAGATTGAACCCAGGGGCACTTAATAACTGAGCTACATTTCCAGCCCTTTCTGTTTTTTGAGAAAGGGTCTCATTACATTGTTCGAGGCTGACCTCAAACTTGTGATCCTCCTAACTCAGCCTTCAAAGTCACTGGGATTACAGGCATGTTCCACCATATCCAGCTTTATGATAGTTTTATTATAAAGAACTTATGCTTTTTATGTAGCCAATTTCTATGTTAAGTATAGTGAAATATACTGTCCATTTTAATTTTAATAACTCTTAAAATTCATGACATCTGCACAGCTTTAGTACTCCCTGAGAAGTTAACATGCTCATATCCCACAAAAATGATAGGAAAAAAATGTTACATTCTAATATGACTGGAACAAAATATTTATTAATTTCTAATAAAAATGCATATGTGGTAGGAAGAATAGAAAGATTAATAGAGAAATTAAAATTTATCTTAAAGCCAACTCTAGTCAAGAAGACTTCTTCAAAGGCAAATAAGTGGTTAAATATATAAATACTGTAACATGGGTTTTTTTATTTTTTTAGTTGTAGATGGACACAATATCTCTATTTTATTTATTTATTTTTGTGTGGTGCTGAGGATCGAACCCAGTGCCTCACATGTGCCAGGCAAGTGCTCTGCCACTGAGCTATAGCACCAGCTCACGGGCTATTTTTTATCRATTTCCTTTTTGGTCAGGGAACTTTCAAGAAAGTTTTAATTCAAGGAGTTCCAACAATGTCTACATTAAAACATCAAGTGAATTGTTCTTGGAAAAATTCTGATTTGATAAGACAGATTTTAATCTGTTTTAGACAAATTTGGTTAGTTTCTGACTATACCTCATCTTACCACAATCATTACTCAGAGGGCATTTTTTTTTTTTTTTTAAAGAGAGAGTGAGAGAGGAGAGAAAGAGAGAGAATTTGTAATATTTATTTTTTAGTTCTCGGCGGACACAACATCTTTGTTGGTATGTGGTGCTGAGGATCGAACCCGRGCCGCACGCATGCCAGGCGAGCGCGCTACCGCTTGAGCCACATCCCCAGCCCCCATTTTTTTTTTTGAAAAAGAAAAAACTAAAATTAGCAGCAGAATTAAGATCATTAGTCTCTAAAACTTCACAAATGAATTCAGTGCTTCTGATTTAACTTTCAGGGGTAAGAGAGCAAAATCTATATACATTCTATTACTACCCACAAGCACAAAGAAAAATATCAATACAAATGATAGTATAAAGAAATAAACTCATGGTTGTTTCAAATTTCAAAACATGAGACATTGTCATATGACTCTCCTATAGCAAATTCCCTTTTTTWCTGGAGCAGCACTTAATAGAAGTATGAATTTCCAAAAATTAAGAAAACAAATTTGTTTTGGTACTGCGGATTGAACCCAGAGGCGCTTAACTAAGCCACATTCCCAGCCCTTTTTTGTATTTTATTTAGAGACAGGGTCTCGATAAGTCACTGAGGCTGGCTTTGGCTTTGAATTTGCGATCCTCCTGCATCAGCCTCTTGAGCCCCTGGAATTACAGGCTTGCTCCAATGCACCTGGCCACTAATTTTGATTTTGACAGTGGACACTATGGTGTGAAAAGATGTAAACCCAAAATGTTTTCAGTGTCATTTATAGCAAAGAAATGACAAGAGAGAATGTTCTGGCAAATAACACCAGCTACTCCATTCTGGACCCAGTTTCTGATCATCCATTCAGTTCTAATGCTCCTAAACTGCCAATCCATCCCACTGGTCTAATCCCAACTCTTTCTTTATGCATAAAGAATCTAGTTTCCTTTCTGTCAACTGAWTTTTAATTTACTAGAAAACTCTTGATTTAACATTGATTCTAATCCATTTTAAATTGAAGAAAATGCTATAATGCTGAAAATTTAATTAAATTGGAGATGGAAATTAACTACTCAATTGGTATGGTAGATATATTTCAAGTGCTCTATAAATATAAGGGAAAGTAACAAGAAAATCTAGACCCTATGTTCTACATAGATTCCTTAACTACCTGATATAGTATAATCTTTGTTTTGATTATTCATGACAAAAAACAAGCAAAGGCCATAAAACTTTTTCCTTTTTTTTTAAGAATGGCACTTCAAGACTTCTTGGCTTGGTGAACACATCTGTATATATAAAAGGACCGTTAAACTTAGTACATGTTAGTTATTAACAATGAATAGGGATCCTTTCTTATCACTGAGTTTTATAGAAAACACATTTGTATATGCTTTCTTTTAATCACATAGTCTTTAAAGATAATAAGTATGCTTAGACAAGAGATTAATGTGAAATTTATAAAGATTCTATGACAGAAGAGAGCTTCACAATCCAGCTTTACTAGAAGACATTCCTTTCACCCACATTATTTGGTGTATCTCTGAAACATCTGAAAAATACTTTTCTGTGAATTACTAGGCTGTAGAGAATGAGCACTTTTAGATACATTACAATTTTCTTTAGTAGAATTTGACATCTTTTTTCCGTTCGCCGAACTATTCAACTGGATTTTAAAAGAAGGTTGCCAGTTTTCATCTCTTGAGCCTCTTCGAGGTTTTGGATGCTCTACATCAGTCTGCTTTTTGAAGTTTCTGTCTTTGTAATTCTTCTGCCCATTTAGTAAGTTATGTGGAGGTGAGGATGTAGTACGTAACTGGTACCCATCTGGGGATCCTTTTTGCCGGTTTGGCTTCATTAGTTCTTTATCCACCTCTTTCTGCAGTTGTAACGCTAATAGCCGGTCTTGTTCTTCTTGTTTGTGTCTCTCAAAAAGTAAATGCTCCAAATCTATCAGTTTTTGGGTAAAATTCATTTCTGTTTCCTCTTGATCTGAAGAAGATTCTGAGAACTTTTTCTTCCTTTTTAAAGAAAAGCATGAATCTCTGACTGCTTCAACTGAAGATTCCTGGCTTTTTCTTTTTGAAACACCTTTACTGTCTGGTTGGCTAGACTCTGTCTCAACTGGGTTGTCTCCAATTATTTTTATCATATTTGATGAAGTACGCCCATTCTCTGTCTTGTCACAAGGCTTAACTGTAGCTTCTTTAGAGTAGGGAACTTTGGTTTTAGGTCCTTCATACTTTAAGACATATAACTCTTGATCATGATTGTTTGATCTTTTGGCTTTTCCTTCAAGGCACTGTTCTGCATCATAGACACATAACCATGGCATAGGTGACTCTACTGAAGACTTTGTACCTTGTTCTTGAACTTCCAGGCACATTTGAGGAGAAAGTGTTGGCATATCTTCTTCAATTTCTGTATCTTGCCCTGTAGGGCTCTTCATATGACTTCTGTCAATTTCCTGTAGAAAACAAAAATACTGAGTGTACAGGGGAAAACACCAAATCATAATATATATCTAATACCACAGCTGAATATTTGTTAAGTATTACTAACAAAGTATTTCTTCCCTCCCTCTTTTTTTGCGGTGCTGGGAATTGAACCCAGGATCTCTGTGTGCTATGCAAGTTCTCTACCTCTGAGTTACACCCTCAGGCCTACTTCTTTCTTAATATAATTGTTAATTCTATATTCCAGTTTAGATTACAACATTAATTCATTTTCACCCCATGGAAACCTACAAATCAAAACTCACAAACTAGATTCTATGTATGGCCAAGAGCTGGCATTAGGATGGTCTGAACTCTTTCACCTTACAAAGAACTTCTAGTCTGGGGCCGTCAGGAGTCTCTGGACAGAAGCTATGAGCACATCTTTAAGTCCTGAGTAAAGGGGTACTGTATAGTTATTGTACCCCGCATACATTGGGCTTACCTCCACTTGGATAAGGAAGGTGTGGCTCCAGGAGCGGCCATGACCGGATGGGATTGAAATGCACCCACCTGTTCCTTTGTAATCCTACCCCTTTGCCATTTTGGGGATAGAATGTTCCATGGAACCTCACCTGTGTGTCCCCTCTATAAGAATAAATAATTCCAGTGGCTCGCTCTCTTTCCATGGACCCTTAAGGTCACAGAGCCATCCCCAGATTTTGAAAAGGTTCTTTTGTGTGTTTGCTTGCTTGCTTCAGAGTTTCCTTAAGTTATTGGAATAGTCAAATTTTGTGAACCCAGCACAGGTCACCAGCTCAGATAGATGGCGATATGGGCCTTTTAAGCCACTTTCTGCACTGTGGACCCTCCTTTAGGCATTTTGTTAAAACTTCTAGACAGACATCTTCTGAGAATAATATTTTCAAATATAAAAATTAAAATACATAGTCTTACAAAGGGAATTAATTTATACTGTAACGCAATTATTAAAATGTTAATAAACCAGGCTGGGGATATAGGTTGGTTGGTAAAGTGCTTGCCTTGCATGTACATGGCCCTGGGCTCAATCCCTAGCACCACAAACAACAACAACAAAAACAGATAAAATRTTAATAAACCAAATGTTCATCTATTGACACATTAAATAAGAGCTAGTAGCAAGTTCAAAAATTTGTACTATCAAAGTAGAGATGATTATAAATAATATTTCAAGAGATCTGTAACAAATATACTGTGACATGAAAATAGCTGCATTTTCTACTGATAACAAAGTCACAGATACTATTACTATGGTTGTTGTCTGCAACCAAAATTAAAGAAAATATTAAAATTACAAATTAACAAAATACATACTCTTTCTTCCATCTAGACCTTAGGTTAAGAACTCTTGCTTTAGTCAGTATAATTCTTCTTCTCACTTCTAGGTCTTAGGTAAGTCAAGACCTAGGATTAATTTTGACAATGGGAAAGCCTTAAGAAGAAAGGCTTTGAGGAGAATGTGCCTCGGAACAAAGAATATCTTGTGTGTGACGTTTTATCTATTCTTTTGCCTATTTTGCTTTCCATTTATCCTTCCTGATAGCACTTTTTTATGAACCAATGTGGATGGAACTGGCCAGACTCTAAACTGCTTACCTCATTTTGCTGTGAATACAACAGTGGGGGAAAATATCCCAGTCCTACAATGTCTCTTCTACAAATCCTCTGTTCGTGTATGAGCAGAACTGTCAGTTGAATTCTTCCCTCTACTACTTACTTTAGAGACTTGAAACAAGTGTCTTCACTCTGTGCCTCAGTTTTCTTCTTTCTTTCTTTTTGGCAGTTCAGGGTCTCACCCATGCTAGGAAAGTGTTCTACCAGAGTTGGAACCCCAGCCCTTTTTATTTTATTTTGAGAAAAGGTCTCAAGAAGTCAACCAGGCTGGCCTCAAACTTGGGATCCTCCTGACTTAGCTTCCTGAATCACTAGGATTATAGGCCTGTACCACCATTCCTGGCTATTTTTTGGCACACAGTAAATGCTCATTGCATGTTTGGTGGTATAAAACCACCTAGATTTTTTTTTTTTTTGAGGAGGGTATCGGGGATTGAACTCAGGGCCACTTGACCTCACTGAGCCACATTGCCAGCCCTTTTTGAATGTTTTTAAAGTTTTTTTTTTTTAATTTCCTTTTTGCATTTTTTAAAGACAGGATCTGAGTTGCTTAATGCCTTGCTTTTTGCTGAGGCTGACTTTGAACTCTCATTCCTTCCGTCTCAGCCTTCCAAGAAACCACCTAATTTTTTTTAAAACTATTTTTTTTTTTTTTAGTTGTAGTTGGACACAATATCTTTTTTGTTTATTTATTTTCATGTGGTGCTGAGGATAGAACCCAATGCCTAACATGTTCGAGGCAAGTGCTTTGCCACCGAGCCACAATCCTAGCCCTCTCTGGTTCTGTTTACCTGGAAATCTGATAAAGGTGAAATGTCACACATATTATTAGGCCATATGACTTAGTAAAAAGGGCCTGTGATCAATGACCTACCTGCCTCTGTTCTAGGATTAAAAGTGTTCTCAGCTCGAGGCTTCTTCTCTAAGTGACTTATTCTTTTGACTGGRTATATTTCTTACCAGGACCCCAGGAAGTACACCTACAGGCTGTTGCATGCTTTGTTTCTTAGTTAATCTTCTATGTGAAGCTGGTACCAGGTATAACTCAGTTTTATGAGATTCATTATCTAGGTCAGGGATCAGAAAAATATGGCCCATGGACTTAGCCTGCTGCCTATTTTTATAAACAAAAGTTTTACTGGAACACAGATAAGCTCATCTGTTTACATTTGGCAATGGATCCTTCCAACTACAACAGTATGATTGGATAGCTGTGACATAGACTGTTTTGATCACAAAAATTAAAATAGCTCCACCTGGTCCTTGAGAGAAAACATTTGTTGATCCCTGGGTTTAGGTAAGTCTAAGATGACTAGATGACTATAAAAGGATATTCCATTAACTATAGTGCTTTAAAAAAAGTTAGGAAACCATAAGTAATCTATATCATCAGTAAACGTGCCTAATCAAGAATGTCTTCAGCATTAACATACCTTAGATGTGGAGTTTCTCCTGACTTCTTGTACAACTTCAGACTGTGTTGCTGATCCAAATAGAGATTTAGGTGACAAATACCTTTAAAAAAATTATCCAAGTGTGAATACTTTGAAAGACAAGTAGCATATACTCAATATGCTAAAGCCAGATTAATTATTTATGCCCAAGACTGAACAGTTTACTCATTAGCTGATTTGTCAAAGTGTATTTCACCTCCTGATCTTAGGTATTTTGGTTTAACTCTAGGACAAAACTTAAAACTGGGAGTATTAACAGGGCTGAGGGTATGGATCAACAGTAGAGCATCAGCATAGCATGATTTAAATCCTGTGTTTGATCACCAGCACAGTAAAAACAAACAAACAAAAAAATCTGACATCAATATTTTAGTGAAAGAAAGAAAACAGTAAAAAAGGAAGTAAAAATAAAAAATAAATATATTTTTTTTAAGGATTCTCTTTTTTTTTTTTTTTTTTTTTTTAAGTTCTCGGCGGACACAACATCTTTGTTTGTATGTGGTGCTGAGGATCAAACCCGGGCTGCACGCATGCCAGACAAGCGCGCTACCGCTTGAGCCACATCCCCAGCCCTAAATATTTTTTAATTCTTGAAAAAAATGTAAAAGGTTGATAGCATTAAATTACGCAAACCCTCCCCAAATTTACAGAAACAATATTTTAAGTATGTTGGTGTCTTTGCATATCAGAAACTGTGGTTATTTACTCCATTCCCCTCACCCCCTTTGCAGTTCTGGACATTTGAAACCCAGGCCTTACACATGCTAAGCAAGTACTCTATCACCAAACCACATGCCTCTAGCCTCTGTTTACTACATTTTAATCTCTACTGAAAAACAATTAATGATTAGATTCTTACCATTATATAGTTTTTATACCAACTACCTGCTTACAGAAACGCAGATGTTAACATATGTCAACATAATAGCTAATCCCTAAATTTCTAAGAGTCTATTATAGGCTGTTTGCCACTAAAAATACATAACATATAATAAAATGGAAAATGGTATAAGTAGGAATAAAAAAGGAAGATTACACATTGGTAGGTTTATTTTTTAAACAGTGAACTAATCACACACATAATTGTAATAAAATTTAGCAGAAATCTCCCAAAATATTGATTGTTTTCAAGTGGTGGTAACTTTGGGTGATTTTTTAAAAAGCAGCTTGGAAAAGAGAAAAATCCATTATTTAGGAAGTATATCAGTATCAAGATATTAGAGTTATATGACAGTTATTTCAAAATTCCTAAGAGAACAAAATGTGATCAAATATATAACAGAATCAGTAAAGAGTCATTAAACTCTTCCAGTTATTCTTTATTTATAAAATAACAAGTAACGTATCAATACATGCTCATTGCAATAAACAAGTAAAGGAAATATACATATCAGCCCTTTCTATTCTTATGTGCTTCCTCATATGTAACTTTTTTTCCCCCCTTTTGATGCTAGGAATTGAGCCCAGAGCCTCCCTCATGCTGAGGACCCGCCTCCCAGTAAGGAATCCTTTATTGGTGACAGTTAGTACATGTCAAATTTGTACAATTATTGATCCCCCAAAAAGAGCTCAGTTACTTATCATATTACTGGTCCATAGAGTATGAAAGTGAACCAAGTAATTGCAGGAATGAATGAAGTCAATCCTGCTTCTTTTAAAATATATTTTTAGTTAGCTGATATGACACATGCTATTCCCAACTCCAAGAACCATGGTGGTTCTATACAGGAATCAGCTAATCTACCCTTCAGATGAACTGGATTTCCAATATTCTCCCTGAAACAGCTTTTGTTTCTCTTGGCTTTATTTTCAAAATGCCTGCATGAAGCAACCTGAGTGATCTGATAAAGAACTGGCAGATTCTGCAGTATCTTGGCTCAGTTATTCCTCACCAACCACCCAAAAATTCTCTTTTGTCATTATTTTGTTTGTTTGTTTTTTGCTCTGCTGGGRACTGAACAAATGCCTGGGGCAAGCTCTCTACCAATGGGAGGCAGCCTAGTCCTACTTTCAGAGCGCAGCCCTGTAATCTAAGTGACTCAGGAGGCTGAGGCAGGAGTATAGTGGTAAATTTGAAGCCAGCCTGGGCAACTTTGTGAGATTCTGCTCAAATTTAAAAACAAACAAACAAAAAAAGGTGTGGCGGGGAACTGAGGTACATGTAGCTGATTGGTAGAATGCCCCCAGGTTCAATCCTCAGTAAATCCCACCTCCCTCCCAAAAGAGACATATAATCTTCTGTGATTCCCCCCCCCCCCCTTAAAGATCATTACAAGGAAGAATATGCTGGGCATGGTGGCACAGGCCTGTAATCCCAGTGGCTCAGGAGGCTAAGAGAGGAGGAACACGAGTTCAAAAAGCAGCCTTAGGGGGCTGGGATTATGGCTCAGCGGTAGAGCGCTCGCCTAGAATGGACCCAGGTTCGATTCTCAGCACCACATAAAAATAAAGGCATTGTATTGTGTCCATCTACACCTAAAAAATAAATATTAAAAAAAAAAAAAAAAGGCAGCCTCAGCAACTCTCAGTGAGACCCTGTTTCTAAATAAAATGCAAAATGGGGCTGGGGATGTGGCTCAGTGGTTCAGTGCCCCTGAGATCAATTCCTGGTACAATAAAAAAAAAAAAAAAAAAAAAAAGAATATTTTGCCTCATAAAATAAATAGCTTTACAAGAGAACAGTTAAAAAATGTAATACAGGGCTGGGGATGTGGCTCAAGCAGTAGCGTGCTCGCCTGGCATGCACGCGGCCTGGGTTCGATCCTCAGCACCACATATAAACAAAGACATTGTGTTCACCGAAAACTAAAAAATAAATGTTGAAATTATCTCTCTCATCTCTCTCTTAAAAAAAAAAAAAGTAATACATCATAATTATGGGGAGGGGATCCTGACTAGAAAGGAAAAGGGTATCAAGGGTTACCTTTTGTAAATATTTTATATCTTAATCCAGGGGATGATTTATATACATGTAAAAATTCACTAAATACATTTAAATTAGTGCACTTTAAAATATGCATATCATACTTCCAAAAGTTTTCAAAATTTACATTACCATGAAAACCCAAATGCTTACCACCTGGGTTTAAAGGGAAAATGGACTGGGGATGTAGTTCAGTAATACAGTGATATCCCCAGCATTGCGGGGGGGGGGGGGGGGGGGGGGGGGGGGGGCCACGACCAACCCCCCCCAAAACCAGCCATATCTCCAGAGAATGTCTTTTAAAATATATTTTTAGTCTTTCTTCTCCTTTTTTCCTCTCCCCATTTTTTTTTTCATTTCCAAATTACTAATGATGGTGGACATCATTTCATGTGCCTACAGGCCACTTATATTTCATCGAAGAAATGTCTAAGTCCTTTGCCCTTTTTTAATTTGTGTTGTCTTTAGTTGTTGAGTTACAAGTATTTAATGTAATATTCTAGAGACTAGACCACATCAGTTTTTATTTTTTTGGTAAGAGAAGAGTMATGCTATGTTGCCCAAACTGGCCCTAAACTCCCAGGATCAAGTGATCTTCTTGCCTCAGTCCAGTTGACTATCTTGGACTACAAGTGAGGTACCATGCCTGGCTCCATTTTCATAAAACTTTTTTGGTGGCGCTAGGAATCAAAGCAAGGGCCTTATATAGCTTAACCATTCACTCCATCACTGAGCCTCACTCCAAGGCCCTCAATTGTTTTTAACTTTGTTTTAGCTTTATCAGTTTCTCGATGTCTGTTTCTAAATTCATTACTTGGTTTAGTCTTCTAGTAATTTAAAATTTTTTTTAGATACATAAAGATTCATAAGTCGTATCCTTAAGCTGTTTCTCAATTTGTTACTTGGTTTATTCTAATAATTTAAAAGTCTGTATTTCAAAATATATTTTTAGATAAAGATTCATAAGTCATATCCTTAAGCAATATATGTGAAAATGAAACACCTATCTGTATACTCCACATTCCCACCTCTGTAAATGGGGATTGAACCCAGGGCCTTGTGAACACTATGCAAGCACTTTGCCACTAAGCTACATCCCTAGCCCTGCTTTTCCTATTTTAAAAGATTTTCTTCTGATTTCTACTTTGCATATCAATCATCAGTATTAATAATATTGATAGAACCACACTTTTTTTTTTTTTCATTTAACAGCAACCACCTTATTTAACTCTCCTTTCCAAAAGTCCTCCCATTCTAAATCCAAAATTTCAACAAATTTTGGAAGGAGATGTGAGTTACCTGCACATATATACTAAGCTGAACCAGAAGTCCTCACATGGTTTTCAAGTCTAGATTGTGGTTCTTAAACTTTTTCAACTATGAATTTTAGCATGGGAAACCTTATGTCCTCACAAAACCATCAATTCTACCTATTAAGTGATTCTAGAGGGCTATTATAAGGAAACTAGCTCATGCCATCCTTGATTACTTTATTCATGTTTTTGTTTTGCTTTGTTTTGTTTTATAGTAGCAAAGAAATACTATGCATAAACTAGGAAAAAAGGGAGAGGGAGATTTTCAATGAAGATGAGCCTATCTTGGACTAGGCTATTTTTACTTGAATTTAAACTATGAAGCAGAGGAATTCAACTGGTTCATTTTGTGGAAATCCAACATGCAAACCCTGAGCAAACTAGACAAAAAGTACTAATCTACTAAAATAAGTGGCTGAGTAAAAAGCATGACAGTTTTCACATCTCTCCTGTGCTAGCTAGGAATGACATGGCAGTAACTCATTTCTTTTTTCACTTTACATCAATATCAGTCTGTCTTTAGTGTTTTCATAAAGAGCTCATGAAGAAAACCTTAATTACCAGTGGTATTATTTGAACAAAAWACACTAATACTGTAGATGGTCAACAGATAATTGATTATGTCATATTCACTTACTTCTGAATATTTCCAATGTTTCTTTGTTTGTTCTTATTTTTCTTTTGTGACTTGGTTGTGACTGGATCAGATTTTCTGGAATTCAAAGGAGAAGCCAAGGTACTCCCCTCGCAGAAATTATTCTTCAACAAGAAAAGCACAAAAGACATAATTAAAAATAGCTTTATGAGAAAATAAGCTATTAATTACACCAATTAATTTAGAACTCACAAAATGTTTCCAGAACTACATTTAATTTCTATATATTCTTTGAAGAATAGTGACCATACAAAACTCAGTATAGTCAGCTCTCCATTCCTATTCCCAGGGATTCAGTTGATCATGAAATGAAAATATTTGGAGGATTCCGGGTATGGTGGTGCATGCCTGTAATCCCAGCAGCTTGGACCCAGCAATTTCTATTCCAAAGTGTATACACAAATGAATTGAAAAAACTACTCCTCAGGAAGGTAATTATATAGAAACCAATGCCCAATGAAGTGTTAGTCACAAAGTGAATAGATGGAAACAACCCAAATGTGTATTATTAGATGAATGGATAAACACAATGTGGTATATACATGTAATGGAATATTAGCGATAAAAGAAACAAAGTTCTGTACATGTTATAACATGAACTGTGAAGCCATTAGCAAAATGAAATGAAACAGAAAAAATAGTATATGATTTAAACCTATATAAAATATCTATAGGGCTAGGGTTGTGGCTCAGTGGCAGAGCGCTTGCCTTGCACATGTGAGGCACTGGGTTCGATCCTCAGCACCACATAAAAATAAATTAAAAAATAATAAAGAATTTGTGTCCATGTATAACTAAAAAAAGATCTGTTTAAAAAAATATCTACAATTGACAAAATCATAGAGAAAAAAATTTGGGCTGAGGCTGTGGCTCAGTGGTAGAGCGCTTGCCTACCATGTGTGAGGCACTGGGTTAGATTCTTAGCACCACATATAAGTGAATAAAATAAGAGTCTATACATTTAAAAAAATATTTTAAAAAGTACACCAGGTTTTCAGGAACTAGGCAAAGGGAAATTTATGGAGTTATGGATTCATGGTTGCAAAGTCTTTGTTTGGGATATTACAATTTTTGGAAATAGTGGTAGTGATTGTTTAAATTGTGAATGTAAGAAATGTCACTGAAATGTAAAATTTAAAAAGGTTAAAATCAGGGCTAGGGTTGTGGCTCAATGGTAGAGCACTTGCCTACGATGTGTGAGGCACTGGGTTCAATTATCAGCACCACATAAAAATAAACAAACAAACAAATAAATAAATAAATGGATGGATGGATGAATAAATAAGTAAGTAGTGTGATTATTAAAAATGTTAAAATCCGGGGCTGGGGATGTGGCTCAAGTGATAACTCGCTCTCTTGGCATGCGTGGGGCGCTGGGTTTGATCCTCAACACCACGTATAAATAAAGACGTTGTGTCCACCGAAAACTGAAAGATAAATATAAAAAAATTCTCTCTCCTCTGTTTAAAAAAAAAAAAAAGTTAAAATCACAAATTCAATATGGGGATGGGGATGTGGCTCAAGCGGTAACGTGGTCGCCTGGCATGCGCGGGGCACTGGGTTCAATCCTCAGCACCACATAAAAATAAAATAAAGATGTTGTGTCTACCAAAAACTGAAAAATAAATATTAAAAAAATTCTTTCTAAAAAAAAAAAATCACAAATTCAATAATGAAAATTTATGAAATTACCCGTGAACTTAACATACATAAACCATTTTTAATCAGTCCCTAAACAATACAATGTAACATATAACATTTACATTGTTTTAAATATCACAAATAATCTAGAAATGATGTGTGTAGGTTATATGCACAATGCCTACATAATAGACTCTAGTACCATTGAATTTTTATAGTCAAAGAAGGTCCTGGAACTAATTCCTTGCAGATATCAAGGAAAAACTATATTATATAAACAAAACCAAGTTCACCAATGTTGGTCTAAATTAATCCATTCTTACTGTACATTATGAAGCATTAAAAGGTATAATACTAATCTCACCAATAATTTCTGAGGATTTTTCTAATAAAGTGTTATATAATTAGAACCATTTTATAGGAGAAATTTTAAAGAGCTAAGGATATATCTGGAGTAAAAGTTTTGTAGAAAAATAACTCTGGGCTTTAAGGGTATATCAATAAATACCATATATATTCACTTATTATAACTAGTCTCATAAGTTTCTTATCATACTATTGGAAAAGTTCACGATTATTCACCATTACTAAACCTTCATATTAAACCAAAAATTTTTCTAAAATTTTAATAAAATTACTCTCATATTGCTATGTGAAAACTAGGATTACAACAAGACATTTGAAAGATGTTTTACAGATGACTCCAAATTCTTCTCTTTAACATATTTTCTTCCCTATTCCATTTATTATTCCATACATCAATGTTTTTACTTACTTTCCTGATCATATAGTTTTAAAATGTATTCTACTCAAATTTAGAAAAGAAAGGATATGTAAAAAAGGGCAAAGCTGGGTGGGGTGACACACACCTGAAATCCAAGCAACACTGGAGGCTGAAGCTGTAGGATTGCAAGTTCGAGGTCAGCCTCAACAACTTAGCAAGGCCTGAAGCAATTTATAGAGTCCCTGTCTCAAAATAAAAAACAAAAAAGGGTTCGGGGTATTGTTCAGTCATTAAGTGCCCCTGGGATTCAATCTTTGGTAACAGAAAAGAAAAAGAAAATCCAGGTTTATAATACATTATTTAAGAAACAGACTGAAAATGCAGCTCAGTGGTACACTGCTTGCCTAGTATACATGAGGTCCTAGGTTCAATCCCCAGTACCACAGGAAGAAAAGAGGAAAAAAAATTAAGTTCTTCACTTTCAAAAACGGATCCACATCTATACAAAGAAATATTATTCTCTTAAAACAACTACATATATATCTTAACACAACTACAAAAATCTTTAAGATCCATCAAGTGAAAACACATAAGAAATAAAACAGTATGACTCACCTTCAGGTGAATAAGGGAAAAGTTATTAAGAAACTGTTAATAAAGTTGCTTAGCGCCTCACTAAATTGCTGAGGCTGGCTTCGAACTCATGATCCTCCTGCCTTAGCCTCTTGAATCACTGGGATTACAGTTGTCTGCCACTACACCCAGCCCAAAAGGTTTTTTTCTTTCTTTCTTTTTTAAAGAGTAACATGGATCAGGGATGTAAGGTCAGTAATAAAAGCACTTGCCTATCATGGGCAAAGCCCTAGATTCAATCTCCATAACAGTGGGGGATTGGATAACTTTATAATGTATTATGAGGGCATGTGTAGTTATAATTATGTAACAATAAACAAAAATACACTTCCTATAGCAAAGTTTGTTATTTACAAAGTTTTGTTTTAAATAGAGCAAAGATATAGCTTCTAATTATAGTAAACGCTCATCTTCAACTCAATGAAAACCACATGGTCAAAGCAACTGAAATGTTAATACTTCAAAGTTCTTTCCTAAAACTTACAATGTTAATGCTTAGCTTTCTTGCCAGTTCTTCATCATTTTTTAGTTGTTCTTCCACTTCACTTCGCCGYTTCTCTGCCTGCTTTTTTTCCTCTTCTTCCTCCTCTGCCAATAATCTCTGTATATATTCTTCACTGGCTTTGTTTTCTTCTTCCTCACTGGCTCGTCGCTCTGCCTCCACCTAAAAAATGATTAATAGAGGATAATTCTTCTCTGAACTTAATATAATTTACAGTGTTTCCTAATAAAAATGGTAAAAGAAAAAACTGGTAAGATCTTAAATATTTCAAATGAAATACAAATCTGGGGAGGCAAAAAACTACAGAATTCAAGAAGGCTCCCTCAGAAAGCTTTCCTCAGTTAGTCCAATGAAACCTTGATCAAAGACCCAAAACCTTTATCTTCAGTCCTTATCATAGTTTCTATTATACTGCTACATATTTATGGACATTCTTTTTGGTAATACTTTTCTCAGTTGACAGAATGTCATGTAGTAAGATAAACCTAACTTTCTGAATTAAACCTAGGAAAGAGGATGGAATGATAGAAACTGACTTATACTAATCAGTGCCTATCCTTGAAATTAGTATCAATCCCCTAACAGTGGGCAGGAACAGAACAAATATTGAAGAAGTAACCATTACAAGACACACAGAAAAAACAATTACTGTCTTCAAGTGGCAGAGTTGAATTCCAACTCACTTCCTAGGACCTACAGCCACCACACTGACAGTTCAAAGGATTTGATTCAAAAGTAAGTTCTTCACCTAATTAAAACAAATGAGACACGAGGGAAAGTTTGTTGAAGGACTTCTGTGTTAAGTTTTCTTGCTCTTAAAGAAATGCCCAAAGAAGACACTGCTTCTTTTCTTCTGCATGTGGTTCTATATGCATCTGAAGTTTGAAACTGTACAACCATCTTTCATTGGCCTGATATTAGAGCCAGATCACAAAAATTAGCAAAGAAATGGAGCTGGAGCTCCAGAAGAAACCAACCTTGAAGCCCATAGCCTCTGAAATTCCAGTTAATTATAATTTTCTAGCTTGGTCTGGTGGCACACACCTCTAATCCCAGCAGCTCAGAAGGCTGAGGTAGGAGGATCAGGAGCTCAAAGCCAGCCTCAGCAAAAGCGAGGCACTAAGTAACTCAGTGAGACCCTGTCTCTAAATAAAATATAAAATAGGGCTGGAGATGTGGTCAAGTGCCCTGAGTCCGATCCCCAGTACTCAAAATAAATAAATAAACAAACAAACAAACAAATTCTTATTGCTTTAAGTAGTTTGAATTTGGGGCTGGGGATATAGCTCAGTTGGTAGAGTGATTGCCTCACATGCACAAGGTCCTGGGTTCCATTCCCAGCACTACAAAAAAAAAAAAAAAAGAAAGAAAGAAAAAGTACTTTGAATTTTCTTTTCAGTTTTTGCTGTACTGGGGAGAGAACCCAGGGTCTTGCACATACTAGGCAAACTCTCTACCACTGAGCCACAACTCCAGCCCTATACTAATTATTTAAGCAAATAAAATTATATGTAAAATCTGAGACTGAAAACACAGCAGAGAAAATTTTCAAAAAAAAGATGACTTATTTAGCACCTACCTTGCTTATCTCTTCTTCATATTCTCTTCTTAATTCCCCAGGTTCACTTAACAGACGAATGGGCTGGTAGTCATCAACTAGTCACATCAAAAAGAAAATAATATTATAGGCAAATAGAACTTTATGGCTAATTTTGGCCTTCCACTAAACTGTATTAGTTTAAATATATAAAATTAAGATAAAATGTATCATAAGTAGCTCCAGCAATAATATCTTCTTTTGGGATTCCATTTTAAAATGCCAGAAACTTTTTGGTTCCAAATAGTATGTGAATATATAATCCTTAATTCTTCCTCTAGATACCATTACAATAACAGTAAAGGCATTTAAAAAATATATATGTAACCCCACAACATTAATGAGATTAGGGAAGGGGGTGTCTAGTCAGTAAACAAATTTTAACCAAGTTCAAGAAAATGGGAAGCCAATGAAGAGATGAATAATGGAATCCTTGGAATGAAAGGCTATAGTTGAGGTCAAAGAGAATCTACCCCATATCTGCCCAGAAAGTGGCTGAGGCCCAGAAATATAAGGCACAAAGGAATCCAGAGTGACAAAGTATGGGACTGAGGACAGAAGATTTCAAAGTTTATAAATTCAGAAATCAGAATACTTTACTTTAACCCAGAGAAAAACCTTTTGCGACCTGGCAGCTACAGCTGGCTAAGTACAATGGCCAGTTTCCATCTTCAAGACCCCAATGTCTGCCAGTCACCAGTCCCTTCTATATACATGGAGCTTTATTCTAGGATCTCATTTTAAAATATGAAACCCAAACCAAGGATCACCGGACATGAGAAATAAATCTGTAGGATTAAAGAGGAATACTAAGCTATATAAAAGGGGGAGGGGGAGGCAGAAACCACCTTGGAATAACAAACAACAAACAATTCAGGAATAGAAAATATAAACTAAATGTATATATGTATGTGTATCCCCTCAGCAGGGCTGATAAGAATTTTATTCCATAAAAGGAGAATAAGATACTATAAAAAGGGAACATCCATAAAAAGCTATTCCTGCCAGGCATGGTGGCACATGCCTGTAATTCCAATGGCTCTGGAGGCTAAGGCAGGAGGATCCCAAGTTCAAAGCCAACCTCAGCAATGGAGAGGCACTCAGCAACTCAGTGAGACTCTGTCTCTAAATAAATACAAAATAGGGCTGGGGATGTGACTCAGTGGTTGAGTGACCCAGAGTTGTATCCCTAGTACCAAAAAAAAAAAAAAAAAAAAAAAGGTATTCCTTATAGAGGCAACTTACTTATAGAGACAGTCACCATTCAACTCCAGTGGACTACTGTCATCAGTAAAGTCAAGCACACTGCTGTCATATTTTTCTGCTTTCCCAAGAAAATCTAGAAATCCAGGTTTTCATATGAAATCTTCCAGTTAATTAATTAATGTACCAGGGATTAAACTCAGGGGCACTCAATCACTGAGCCACRTCCCCTGCACTATTTGGTATTTTATTTGAGAAAGGGTCTCACTGAGTTGCTTAGCACCTCACTGTTGATGAAGCTGGCTTTGAACTCTCAATCCTGCCTCAGCCTCCAGAGCAGCTGGGATCACAGGCATTCGCCATGGTGCCTGGCAAAATCTTCCAATTTAAATACTGGTGCCACATGGGTCACAAAAAAACATGACTGCAGGCTTCATATGATCAAATAGGCCAGAAGTTTGCAAATTAGTAGAGAAATGTAAAACAGTGATATAACTCCATAATAAACTGAGATGAGGTATGCTAAATTCTCATTTATTTTAACCATTGAGGAAAATCCATGAGACAACAAAGGAATACATGGGAGATACAAGTTTAAGTCTCCTTAAAACAGGAAGGGCTAGAAACTAAGCCTAGGTAAATAAGAGTAACAACACTTCTATTACAGTACTTCTAATAAAGGGGAATGGGATATATTCAAAGAGGTAGTTCTTTATCAGCTGTTATAAATTAGGGGTTGGCAGTTTTTTTCTGGAAAGGACAGTACAATAAATATTTTGTCTTGTGGGCCATATGGTCTGTCACTCAATTCTACCATTATAGTTCAAAAGCCCCTATAGTCATAGATAAATGAACATAGAGCATGCATTTGAATAACACTTCATTAGGAAAAAAGGTGAGCCAGACATGGTGGTGCTTGCCTGTAGTTCCAGTGACCTGTGAAGCTGAGGCAGGAGAGTCACAAGTTCAAAGCTAGCCTCAGCAACTTAACAAGATTCTGTCTCAAAAATAAAAAATAAAAGGGCTGGGGATGTGGCTCAAGCGGTACCGCGCTCGCCTGGCATGCGTGCGGCCTGGGTTCGATCCTCAGCACCACATACAAACAAAGATGTCGTGTCCGCCAAAAACTAAAAAAAATAAATATTAAAAATTCTCTCTTTAAAAAAAAAATAAATATTTAACTAAGTAGTTAAATGTCCCTGGGTTCAATCCACTGTCTAAAAAGAAAAAAAAAAAATCAAAGTCAAGTCTGAAAAAAAAAAAAAACCTACAAAAATAAAGAAAGTCAAGTCTGGCATGTGGACCATAGTTGAATAGCCCCAGCTGAGACTATCCCTAACTATTAAAGTTCTCAAGTAAAATTCTACTCTGTAGGGCTAGGGAGGATAGAATTTTAAATGATTATAAATACTTGGGAAAAAAAAATTCACTTGAAACCAAGTATGTTGCCCAGGTTTGTAATTCCCACTACTGAAGCTAAAGCAGAAGGATCACAAGTTTGAGGTCCTAAGTAACTTAGTGAGACTGTCTCAAAAAACAAAAAGGGGTTGGGATGTGACTCAGTGGTTTAGCATCCCTGGGTTCAATGACTGCCTCCCCACCAAATTATATGAAAATACAAAGAACCTAGAATACCTGATAAAAAAAAAAAACAAAGTTGGAGAACTATTATACATTCATTCAAAACATTCTATACTGCAAAGTATAGGAATCAAGACAATGTAACATCAATATCAAATCAACCAATAAATAAATTGTACAGAAAAAATCTACGTTTTTTAGAAAAAAAATCTTCTCAATAAATGTATAAGAAATGATGAATATCTACAATGAGAAATGTTATCTCAATCCTGATCTCACAGAATATTCAAAAATTAACTTAAAATGGATCACAGACTTAAGCATAAAAGCTAAAAATTACAAAGCTTTTAGGGGGAAAAAAAAACCAGGAATATCTTTGCCTCAGGCAAAGTCACAAAAAGTAATAATCATAAAAAGAAAAGTTATGAATCAGACTTCATGAAAATTATAAGTCTCAGCTTATGAAAAGACATAATTAAGAAAATGAATAAGCCAGGTATAGTGGTACATACCTATAATTCCAGCTACTTGGCAGGATGAGGCAGGAGGATCTCAAGTCTGAGGCCTGGGGGACTTAGGGAGATCTTGATTCAATATAAAAATTTAAAAGGGCTGGGGGTATAGCTCTTTGTTAGAATGTATGAGGCGTGTGAGGCCTTGGGTAGGCCCAGTAGAGGGGGGGAAAAAAGTAAAAAAACAGAAATAAAAAACAAGAGCCTAAAGGAAAAAGCAAGAAAATGAATAAAATTGCCAATAAGCCCATGAAAAAGGACTCAACATCATTTGGGGAATGATGAAAATACAAATTAAAAACTATAATGAGGGCTGGAATTATAGCTCAATGGTAAAGCACATGTGTAACGTGTGATGCCATAAATAAATAAAATAAATGTAAAAACAACAATTAAAAAAACTATAATGAGATGCTACTAAGAACTACTAGAATGGTTAAAATTAAAAAAAAAAAAAGAACTATATCAAAGGTCAGTGAAGATGTACAAAAACCAGAACATGGAGATGTTTATTAGGATTATAATGATGACATTTTAACAAAAGATATGATAGTTTCTTTAAAGAACAAATAAGTGCCTGTTCTATGACTAAGCAATTCTACTCCTAAGTACTTATGCAAGAAAATGAGGATATATAATAACAAAAAAACTTGTATGAAATCTTCTCAGCAACTTTACTAATAATAATTAAGTCAGGTGTGGCAGCACACACCTATAATTCCAGCAACTGGGGAGGTTGAGGCAGGAGAACAGCAAATTCAAAGCCAGACTCAGCAAGTTAGTGAGATCCTGTCTCAAAAATAAAAAGGGCTGGGGATGTGGTTCAGAGATTAAATGTCCACAGTACCAAAAAAGCAAAAAACAAAAACTGGAAACTTTGTACATCACTAATGGGAATATTAAACAATATAGCCACTGTTGAAAACAGTTTGGCAGATCCAGCAATTCCACACTTAGATATATGGTCGGCCTGCTGTAGTCACTGGCTCTGCATTTGTGGATTCAATCAATTCCAGATTTAAAATATTCAGGAAAAAAACTTGTCTGTATTAAACATGTATGAACTTCTTTTTTCTCATCCTTCTCTTAAACAATACAGTATAACAACTATTTACATAGCATTTGGTATTATAAGTAATCCAGAATTGGTTTAAAGTATATGGGAGGACTGGCTCAGTTGGTAGAGTGCTTGCCTACCATGTACAAAGCCCTGGGTTCAATGCCGAGCACCACAAAAACAAATCAAATAAAGTATATAGGGGGCACTGGGTTGGAGCGAGGCCCTGGACTCAATCCTTAGCACCATATAAAAATAAATGAAATAAAGGTATTGTGTCCAACTACAACTAAAAAATAAAYATTTAAAAACTAAAGTATATGAGAGGATGTGCACGATTATAGGAAAAATAGCACACCATTTTATATTTAAAAAAAATTGAGCATCAATAGGTTTTGGTATCTGTGGGAGAAGAAAACCAATCTTCTGATATCAACAGATGACTATATACACAAAAGAATAAAAACAAGTATTCAAAGAATTACTTGTATATGAATATTCATATCAGCATTATTCATATAATCAAAAGATGTTGGGAGGGAAAGGGAGAGAGAAGGGAAATTGCATGGAAATGGAAGGAGACCCTCAGGGTTATACAAAATTACATATAAGAGGAAGTGAGGGGAAAGGGAAAAATAATACAAGGGGGAGAAASGAATTAMAGTAGAGGGGGTAGAGAGAGAAGAGGGGAGRGGAGGGGAGGGGRGGGGGGATAGTARAGGATAGGARAGGCAGCAGAATACAACAGACACTAGTATGGCAATATGTAAATCARTGGAAGTGTAACTGATGTGATTCTGCAATCTGTGTACGGGGTAAAAATGGGAGTTCATAACCCACTTGAATCAAACTGTGAAATATGATATATCAAGAACTATGTAATGTTTTGAACAACCAACAATAAAAAAAAAAAGAAATATCACTGCTAAAAAAAAAAAAGATGTATCACATAGATATATAATGTAATACAAGATATCCATGGAAGGCCCTCAAATGAAGTACATGCTACAAAGTACAAGAACCTCAGAAACTGGGTGAAACAAGCCAGACATTGTATGAGGTTATCACAAACCTGAGAGCAGGGTAAACTGGGGGAATTCATTGCTTAATCGTTAGTTTATGGGGGTAATGAAAAAATTGAAGAGCCTGGGTTGTAGTTCAGTGGTGGAGCACATGCCTAGCACATGTGAGGCACTTGGGTTCAATCCTCAGTACCACATAAAAATAAATAAATAAAATAAAGGTATTGTGTTCATCTACAACAAAAAAAAGTTTGGAAGCAGTGGTGATAACTACCTTGTGAACATAATTAATTGCCATTAAATTGTACATTTAAAAATAGTTAAAATGGGCAATGGGGCTGGGGTTGTAGCTTAGTTGTAGAGCTTGCCTGGCATGTGTGAGGTACTGGGTTCAATTCTCAGCACCACATATAAATAAATAAATAAATGGGCTATGGGGATAGCTCAGTATTACAGTTCCTGCTTAGCATGCACAAGGTCCTCAGCACAAAAAAATAAAAGGTTAAAAATTTTTATGTTATATGTTTTTCACTATATATCAAAACCCATTTAAATTGAATGCTTTAGCTGGGCACAGTGAAGCAGGCCTATAATCCCAGCTACTTGGAAGACTGAGACAAGAAGATCTCACAAATTCAAGGCCAGTCTCAGCAACTTAGCAAGGCCTTAAGCAAGCCTGTCTCAAAATAAAAAGGGCTGGGAATGTTGATCATTGGTTAAGTGCCTCCTGGTTCAAGTTCAATACCTAGTACAAAAAAAAAAAAAAAAAAAAAGTTGAACACTTTAAATGGATGAATTGTATGTATTTCAATAAAGTAGTTTTTTAAAGATAACTATTGCTTAAAAATGTTTAAAAGGGCAAATTTTGTTAATTTTTTTTTACCATAAATAAATAAATGGCAGGTATACCAGAGCACAGGCACCATATTCAAAGCCTAGACAGAAAACACTGAAATGAATGATTTATTGCTCACACGTAGAAGTAAGATGCTAGAGTCAAGTGTTTGGTTTGGGGCTCTTTAAGTCCACAGTATGGAGGGTTTTGATTTAAAATGACTGAACTAGATGGGACTAGTAATAGAAAGCTATTTTAGGTGTGCTGTATGCTTTAGAGAACCGAATACAGATACAATGAATGGAAATGTACAGATTGCTAACAGAGAAAGTAAAAGTATAAGAAACATTAACATAGAAATCAGTCGTTCCTCCTGTGGTTGTTGTATACTACAACCTTTGCTTATCTGTGTATATATGTATGTGCRTGTACACATACATTATGTGTGTATATATGCGATTTTCTTTCTTTCATTTTTAACACAAACAGCAATGGAACACAGAGCTTGGGCATTTTAAAAATGGACAAAATCTTGCTCTTGACTTTAATCAACATTTTGCTCTTGACTTTAATCAACATTTGGGTGCCCACAAAATCAAAACCTTCAAGAACAACTTAGGCAAATACTAGACAGATTTTTTTTTTCTCTGTTCTCTTTTAAAATGGAAAAATGGTGACTCAGTTTTTTGCTGTTGGGTTTTTTTTGGGGGGAGGGGAGTGCCGGGGATTGGACTCAGGAGCATTTGAACACTGAGCCACATCCCCAGCCCTATTTTGTATTTTATTTAAAGACAGGGTCTCACTGTGTTGCTTAAACCTCACTTTTGCTGAGGCGGGATTTGAACTCACCATCCTCCTGCCTCAGCCTTCCGAGCCGCTGGGACTCAGGCGTCCGCCACCCCGCCCCGGCATGACTCAGTTTTTAAAAGATTTTGGATTAGCCAATTAACATGCTCGGTTTTTTACTCACCAATTTCCTCCGATCCTTGCCCAGAGAGTCTAAGCTTGCACTCCTTTGGATAGTGTTTTTGAATCGTTTCCCATAGTTCCATATTGATGAGAGAATTTTTACGGGTATGATACCGAGTCCACGAAGAGACCCGGCGGCGACAGAAGGGACAGCACAAATTTGCCTTTTCGACAGTCGACTGGAAGCACGGATTACAGAGCGTGTGGTTACATGGAAGGGTTACGGGCTCGATTAGGATTTCCACACAGATCTGGCACTGGCATTCCGACAAGGAAGGGATGGCGTCCTTGGGTAGAGCCATTTTAATATGCTAATGAGGCCTACTCAACATCAACACCTGAAAGAAAAAGAAGCGTCTTTTCAGCGAACSACAGAGAAAGCAAATAAACAGTAATGTGTTTAATACTATGTCCTGCAGCGAACCACCATTCGACAGTAGGAGCTTCAAACAGGGCTTGAAGCAAAGAGACGCTGTACAGGTCAGGTAACCACCAATAAGACCTTGCAAGGCGGTGACTCTCTTCTTAAGACAAACGTCCAAGAAAACAAATAAAGGTTTTAGTAGGAAGAGCAAGGCTCCTAGGGAGGAGCACCACCGCTGCGGCAGGCAAGACATGGGGCTCCTACGCAGCGGAGAGTCCGCGCCAAGTGCCCCTCCTCCCCCTTACCAGGTCAGGAGGCTGCCGGTGGCTCCGCGGCTGGCTCCGGGGCTGACTCCGGGCCACCGCTGAGAGAATGCCGCTTCCGCCCGGACACCGGGCTCCGATCGCAGGACTTCCGTTTTACCGTTGCTGCGGGTGCTGCCCGCGAGCCACCGCKATCCAGCTTTAGGCGGCCCAGCGCTGTGTCCTATTGCCCACGGGCTGACACGCCCCTCACAGCTCTTCTGTCAGCCACAAACCCTATTCGCTGCAGAGCTCCGGAGCAACCAGACAAGAGCTAGTGACRTCACAACTGCCCGCCAAAACGCCCTTTCTATTCCGACAACCGACCTAGGGCAGAGCCTCTAACGTTCCGCTGGGCGGGACTTCCGGGACCTGCGCACACCGCCCAGGCGGTTCCGCCCCCGTCTCTTCCCGGGATCTCAGCTCCTAGGGTCTAGTTGGGTAATTCCTGCCTTTCCTTGAAAGGTGGCCTCAGAGGCTGCAGAAACCTTTTTTTTTGGTACCAGGGATTGAACCCACGAAGGCTTAACTACTAAGCCACATCACTCCCCTCAGCCCTTTTTTTATGTTTTATTTGAAGACAAAAGAGTCTGGCCGAGTTGCTTAGGGTCTCCCTAAGTTGCTAATGCTGGCAACTTGATCCTCTTGCTTCAGCCTGCCAAATCACTGAGATTACAGGTAGAAAAGGGAAACCTCTAAGACTGGAACAATAATTTTTCTAATTTTTCCCTCAGTAATCTTCAAATTACCTWTTTCTATTAAGGTCTTAGTGTCAAAAGAAAATTTCGACAAATTCAGCTTAGAGATCTTAGTTGACTTTCTTTCCTCTCCCCCAACCACCATCCCCATACCAGGGATTGAACTCCGGCACTTGACCACTGAAGCACATCCCAGCCTATTTTGTTTTATTTAGAGACAGGTTCTCAGTTGTTTAGCGCCTCACCCTTTCTGAGGCTGGCTTTGTTTCAGCCCACCTGAAGGCTGGGATTCCAGGCCTGTGCCACCATGTTGGCTCTTAAATTACCTTTTATTTTCGGTTTTATTATTGGGTTCCCATGAGCTGGGCAAAGATTGGCTTTATAGGGAGAAAAGGGATGAAGAAAGTAGAAACAACAAAAAAAGACTGATGTTGGTTTCAAAATTTCTTTCCTTGTAAAGTTGAAACAGGATTTCCTTACTGGATAAAACTGGCCTATTTGGGGATTTGGCTATCATTTCTCTCTCTCTCTCTCTCTCTCTCTCTCTCTCTCTCTCTCTCTCTCTCTCTTTCAGTTTTGGTGATAAACCCTGGGCCTTGTACATGCTAGTCCAATACTCTACCACTAAGCTACATTCCCAGTCTCATCTCACCTGATTTATTTTGGAAGGTTAGTTTTGATTATGTGGCCTGGAAATTTGGCATGAGTAAATCCATTTCGGTTTGGTCTGTTAGGCATAGTATAAGAACTCAGTCCAATGGCCTTCTATTTATTAAACATTAGRAAAGCATCCCTAAGAAAGTTGTTACCAGAGGTTCACTTATCCGAGAAGTTTATGGTCAAAGTAACTGTAGACCTGAGACAACTTGACAGGCACTTATACTTCCTTCTATAGACCAGCCCCTTTAAGTCTGCTGCCTAGAGATAGATTGTTTTAGGATTGCCTTCCTTTCTAAAACCTTGAAGACTGCAAGCTTTGAAAAACCAGCCTGAATCTCAGAGCAAAGCCTGTCCAAGGAAGGGACATGGCCTTTGTCATTGGAAAGACCCACAGAGCACTCCTAGGCACATTTCCACCCTGCTAAATTGTTTATCTACAAATAACAGGAGAGATCTGCTGGGCCAGGTGTCCTTGATTCAGGCTAGGTGGGGATCCATARCAATCCCCTAGCAGCCACCAATCAGCATGAGACAGGGAAATACCTGGATGCCAGTTTATGGTGTTGGGAAACCATGTAGTTCAGCACGAACACCCCTCTTGGCTTAAACCAATCAGTTCAAATGAATCCCCCTCTTGTACTAACCAATCACCCCTACCCAACTTGTTCCCGCCAGTGAATGTGCTAATCATGTTTTAGAGTTGTTGTTTGATTTTCCCGTGGTGAGTGATGATTTGCTAAGAGATGCTATGATGTATGTGGGGGTYCCTGCCTTCTCCAAAGAATGTACAAAACCGCTGGAAACCCTGGGCTTGGGGCCTCTCAGSATCACCAGTTGCTGTGTGTGCGCGCACGGAGGACCGAAATAAACACCTCTTTGCTGTTTACATCGATCTTGGTCTCTGGTAGTCTTTTGGGAGTCCTGAATTCGAGCATAACACATTGATTACCTAAGATATTGAGTACATTGTTCAAAATATTGTTCTGTAACCTAAGTCAATCATGATTAAGGTTTTACGTTTTCACCTCAATCACTAGGTGCTAGGTAATGCAACTAGACTACATGACTCCTGACCTATTGTTCACTTCTAACTTYAAAGCATACCTATAATTATTTCATTAACCTTTAACTTTAAAGCATACTTATGATTATTGGTAAGCTTTCTTACTTCTAAACTAAAATCCCAGTAAAACACACTTAAAGTAGTGAAATTCTATTATTTAAAAGCCTACTACTCTGAAGTGTCTCTAAAATATATCTGTTAATTTTACATTATTCTATTTTAATTTCCAAGGTAATTTCCTTTTTTCAAATGACTTATTTAACTGATTTCTTAAAGAACTTCCTTGATTCTTGTTCAAAGCACATCAATTCTTAGGTCTTTGTAATCTTTTAACTAAAGGGCAGGYTCTGCACCTCAACCCATTTGTCATTTATATTAACTATGTGTTTTCCATTTTTATCATAAGTTTCTATGTAAAGCAAAGGATGGTCTATTGGTTGGGGAATGTATTTTTATTAGCCTTCTTGTCCTTGGGGGGATACCATAAGCTACATATGGTGGTCCTTGTACTGTTGGTACAGCAATTGTTTTTCTGTAGCTAGGCTATTGTACAGTTTGTGGCTTTAGGATGGGGTTGGGGGGACTAGTTATCCATGGAATAAATATTTGGAATTGTTATAAATAAATAATATGGAATTGTTATCCATGGAATAAATATTTCTTGTTGTTCAGGCTTGAGGAATAACACCATTGTTTGTATCCTGAGAGACTGAAATGCGCCTCATGGCATGTCTCAATTGTATCCTTAGTCTCATTCTGGGAATTTWCCTGCAATCTCAGGCAATACTTACTTTTATTATTGATTGAGTATGCCCTGTTATCCATATCATGAGTATCATCAACAAAACACTTAACATTCCTAATGGTTCCAGATTCCAGATGGTGTGGCCTTGCCTTGCCGAAGCATCCCCCATGCTGTTACCCTGTCAGACAGCAGGTGCAGGAACGCCTTCACCACTCCTGTAATCCCATAGACTTGGGAAGCTGAGGCAGGAGGATTACAAGTTCAAGGCTAACCTTAGCAATTTAATGAGGCCCTAAGCAATTTAGCAAGACCCTGTCTCAAAAAAATAAAAAGGGCTAGAGATATAGCTCAGTGGTAAAATGCTCTGTGGGTTCAATCCTCAATATCAAAAAGAAAAAAAAAAGTGTACACCACTTTATTGTTCGGTTTTCATATAGAGCAAAGCTCTAGAAAGGAGGTTAACAAGAATATAATTTTACATTTTATGCATTTCAGCATTAACTTTGTGGTTCTTTTTTGTGTGTGTGTGTGTGTGTGTGTGGTGATAGTGGCATTAGGGATTGAACCCAGGGTCTTGCATGTGCTAAGCATGCACTCTGCCACAGAACTACATACCCAAGCCATTAACTTTTTGAACCACAACTGATTCTACAGAATTGGTTTCAATGAAAAACAAAATGAAACAGAATTTGGCTAGGAAAATGATGGGAAATTCATAAAGAATGTGATCCCCCTCCCCCAGAGTACTTAAAAGCCAGACCTGAGGTTTGGTTTTGTCAAGCAAATAATAAGAGTGTATAAACAAGGTCATAGGAAGAGAAAAGGAAATCACTGTGCATGAAACAGTCTTTAAGTCCATTTGGATTTGCTGAGGGCATTCAGGTTGGGTAAAGGAATGGTTTCCATGGCCTGGGGTTRTGGCTCAGCAGTAGAGCGCTCGCCTAGTGTGCGTGAGGCCCTGGGTTCGATCCTCAAAACCACATAAGAATAAATAAATAAAGGTTAGGGCTGGGGTTATAGCCAAGTGGCAGAGTGCTTGCCTACCATGTGTAAGGCACTGGGTTAGAGCCTCAGCACCACATATAAATAAATTAAATAATGGTATTGTGTCCATCTACAACTAAAATTTTAAAAATATAAATAAAGGTTAAAAAAAAAAAAAGGAATGGTTTCTAGGTGGAGCCTAAACAAGGAGTTGTGGGTTCTTGGTAGAGAACTTTGGGAACTTGTGGTCCAATAATAGCATAGGACTAAGTGATTTTATAAATAGGAAGCTCATGTGTTAACTGTTACTAGTAATGTTATTTGCTGTTATAAAGAGAGAGTCACATATGAAGAATTCCTGAAGCATACTATTTTACTGTGAAAAGAGAGATGGGAAACAGACTTGGGCATATATTCCAAGGCAGTAGGTTCATCCCATGTGCCAACTGACCAGTTGGCAGTGGATGCCTGGAATATGTGTAAAGTACAATTCCAAGGAATATCTGGCTGAGCAAGACAGCATACTATATAATGGATTAGTGATGTCTATTGTGGGTGGTGAAGGGAGTCATCAGCATGCATGCTATATATTTGCCTTCTTTGTACTGAAGCTTCATTCCAGTCAGTTGCTTTAGGTGCCTGTTAATAAAAGGCGAGGTCCAACTTTGTCCAGTTGTGTCAGTCCTTACTTGCTCCATGTTCTGGGTTTTTTTTTTAAATATTTTTTTTAGTTGTAGATGGTCACAATACCTTTATTTTATTTATTTATTATTATGTGGTGTTGAGGATCAAACCCGATGTCTCACGTATGTGAGGCAAACACTCACCACTCACTTGCTCCATGTTTTATTCCCAGCACATAGTTGAGACATATTTTTGTATGACATAGAGCCACATCCCCAGCCTTTTTATTTTTTATTTTGAAACAAGGTCTCCATAAATTGCTTAGGGTCTTGCTAAATTGCTGAGGCTGGCCTCAACCTCTGGGTTACTGGAATTACAGGCATGCATCTTCATGCCCATCTTCCTCCTGTGACTTCTGAACAATGAAGAGTTGGCTTCTTTTTTAAAWTTTTTTTTATTTTATTTGTTTTGTGGAGTTGGCTTCTAATAGCTGCTAGGAGGGCATGGATAACGCATATTGAAGTGAAGGATATCACTCCCCATGGAGGAACTTTGGGCAATTGAAAACAGTTTAGACTGAGTGAGTACAACAGACAAATTTGCTTTCCTTCTTCCTTCCAAGGCCTGATTTTCCCAAACAGTATGTGGGTACAGAAGGAMAGAGCGATAGATGTACCTGTTGAACAACCTGCTATGTCTCTCATGGCTCATCTTCAAGGTATATTACTTCATATCCTTTTCTACCCTACTTTCTTTCAGCATGCCTCCTCACTCTGACTACCTGAATTTGTACCTTCCAAATAAAGTGTCAGTACTTAATCCTCACCTTGTAAACAGGGTCCACATTTTTAAATATTTCTATTACAACACCTAGCACATGGCATTTGGTATTCAATAACCATTATAAATAAATGATCAGTTAATTCTCTTTTTAGTATAAATAACTATGATACTATACTAGAGAACACATATATGCCAGCATCTCATGATATAGATTTTAGGTGTTTTATTTTTTTTTATTTTTTTATTTTTTGAATTTTTTTTTAATATTTATTTTTTAGTTCTCGGCAGACACAACATCTTTGTTGGTATGTGGTGCTGARGATCAAACCCGGGCCGCACGCATGCCAGGCGAGCGCGCTACCGCTGAGCCACATCTCCAGCCCAGGTGTTTTATTTTTATTCACCTTTTAATAAGTAGTACATTCACATAATTCAAAATTTAAAATGTCCAAAAGGGATTAACAGTGAAATGACTTCCTCATATCTTTGACCTCTAAGGTCTTAATTTCTTTCCTGCAACAACTAATATAATTTCTTATGTATCTCTGCAGAATTTTATGAATCTCTGCAGAATTTTATAGCTAAGCCAATATTATATGTTATATAATATTTTCCACTTAACAATAAATATGTAATTAACAACAACAACAATACATTATGGTGATAACTCCCTATCATTAAACAAAGAGTTTCTTCGTTCTTTTATAGAGCTAAATAGAAAATATTCATTGTATCACTTACAAATTCTTTAATACTGCTTTTACTTTTTGCCATAACAATAAATCTGCAGTAAATAAATTACACATACATTTTACTATTTTCAAGATAAATTACTACAAATGACATCAGGATCTCGGGGCAGAAGGTTAGTTTTTGACAGATGATATCAACTCTTTTAGGGGTGACTTTTGCTCTTCAGGAATCCTCTCTGCTTTCCCTTTCTCAATGACCTGAACAGCCCTCAGCAAACCATCCTGCAGAGCCTGGTTCTTTACCATGTTAGTGATCATGAATGTGATATCCCTGATGTACATCTGTCGTACTTTAGCAGCATAATGATCTGCCTTGTGACCATGTGCAATAAAGAAAGTACAAATTGCTGTGATATCTCCTTCTTGCAGCCCACATTCTTCCAGAACAGACTCCCACACAACTCTAATGCGATTGTTCTTAACTTTTCGTCTAAGGACAGAGGCTAAGGTGGGAAGACCTCTTACCAGGTCTGGTAGTTTCTCAAGTACACGTGTGTGCAAGCTGATAAGCACTTCAATGACGTAGCTGTATAAAATATTCAATTCAATTGAAGTGAACCTATGAAAAAACATGGGGAACTTCTTATGCAACAGAACACTATTAACAGACATAAAAATGCATTTGATCATTACAAATCCAGTAGAAGTTATTGTATTTTAGAAAATACTTTAGAACTAGACCCTGCACTAACCTAGATAGCTATGTTCTCAGGCTACACTACTGTATGTTCTTCAGTGACAAGGGAGTTTTATTATCCATCTCTGTGCTAGTGAGACTTTGGCAAGTAACAGGCACTGTGAGGACATGTGTACCACAGGGCCTAGCATATAATACAGGTGCTAAAATTGATTTTTTTCAATGAATAAACACAAGAAAATGTAATTTCTTCATAATCCATAGTTGGGACCATACTAAATTCAGTTTTGAAATAACAACTAAAAGCTTTTACCATAAAATTCCTCTGATTTTTCTATCAATACTCACTTCAGTGCCAAAACTGCTGTCCACATTTCATCTTGAGCTGCTTGGCTTGCCAAAGTCTTGCTATGATGTTCAAATTTCTGTGTCAGATTATCTTTGGTATTGTCCAGTTCTTTGAACTGTGCTTCTAAAGCTTGGAGTTTGTGGTCTACTCTATAGGATAAAAGAATCAGAGTTAGTTTAGGTCAGGGGAAAAAACTAAGGTATTTCTTTAACCTAAGGTTCTAATGCATTATGTACAACCACCATGAAATTTGGTGTGTGTGTGCATGTGTGTGTGCTGCTATGTATCAAACCCAGAGCCTTGTGTGAGCTAGGCAAGGAGATATCTACCACAGAGCTTTACCTCCAACTCCTGGGTAAATATTTAAATTTAAAATTATGAACACATGGTACTGGGAAATTAAATTGATCAAATTATTTTATGTACATGTATGAATGTATAAAAGGAAGCCTACTATATGTATAATTATAATGTATCAATAAAAAATGTTAAATAAATAAATAAAATMATGAACAGATGTTTCCATTCGCCATTCCCTCTAGCATTCATATTTGTTCTTTCCTTACTTCACACTTTTTAATTATCTAATTACTTGAATTATATGTCATGTCTTATCTTTATATTTTATACTTTGAGTATTTTATACAAGCATGACTTCAATTCTCACAACCATAAGAATTAAAACAGTCATTTTTACTATTTTATAGATAARGAAATTGAGTCTTAGAAAGATTGAGATTTAATGTCATGTAACTAGCTAATACTGGGACCACTGTATAATTATATGGCTTTCTCTACCCTATCATGACTGTACAAATCCTTCTGTCCTTCAAGGTTCAAATTTCACCACCTTCTTGTTTTTGATTATTTTTAAAAATATTTTTGTTGGTTGTTGATGGACCTTTATTTTATTAACTTATTTATATATGGTGCTGAGATCAAACCCAGTGCTTTACATCGTGCTGGGCAAGCACTCTACCTTTGAGCCACAACCCCAGCCCCTCCACCACCTTCTTGATTTCCTCTGGACCTGGAGATCTTCTTACCTCCTGCTTCTCTCTTATAGGAATGATCTCCATTACCTATCCCTCTTTACCCCTACTTCATTTTTAGAGTTAGCTTTTCATAAACTAAGTTCTTAGAGGAAGAAAATCAGAGACCATTTCTTAGATATCTTTATGCCTGTCCTCCAATACCTAAAAGAGGTCTTATCTAGAAGTAATAAAATATTTCTATGTTACGTGATTGACATTTGTGATGTGAATGAGAGGCTGACCCTTGTAACACAACATGGGGATCTGAGTAGCTTTGAATAGCCCTGATCACCAGAGGGCACTATGGCAGCAGAATTGTATCTAACTGAACCACACACACACACACACACACACAAAAAAAAAAAAAAAAAAAAAAATTGGAGAAACAAAACTCACTTTCCTGAAGCCACCCACTTGTCTTTCCTGAAATAAATGACGCATAAGAATACAAGTTATTTCCCCAGTGACCTGAATACCTTTGTGGTTGCTCTATCCTTGATGATCTTCTTTTGATCCTTAGCTTCTCCTAGGCTAATTCAGCTTCAGGTTCCACCTTGCTCCTAGGCTCTAGACCTGTATTTTCATCTGTTTTGCACATTTCTACCTGGAAATGTCAAACTCAACGGTCCTGAGCTGAATCTACTAACACCCCTTCCATCTTCAGAAATTATTATGGAGGGATTTTCTCACTGCTTCAGATTCTATTAACACAGATAAGATRGAATATGAAATGTGCATTTCATAGGTATACAAACCTGCATAATCTAATAGGGCAACAGTCTCTGTCTACAAGTAAAAAACCATGTCACCTGGCACACTGTTTGTATTAACTTTTAGATCTTTGAGACTATATTGCTATATAGCTCATCTCTAGCTTAAACTCTAGGAATAAATTCTAGCTTGTCAATCTGTATATAAGTTTATAATTGCAGCATTTTTTTAATCCTCCCGCCAAAAAGGCATTCCTGGACCATTCTAAATAATTATTAAACAACATGCAAACCTGAGTGCAGTCTGCTTTTACACTACAATTCCCTAGCTCTGTTAATGACCTTACCAATTTATCCAATTACTTGAACTAAAAATCTCAGAATAATTCTCAACCCTGTTTTCTCTCATCCTCCAATTAATGTCTCTTTAATCTATCCTCTCCTCTGCATCCCAAGATCTAAGCCAGCTCATCCTCTGTAACCAAGAAACTTGCTTCCATGTCCAATCCATCCTCCAGACATAGTTTTTAAAATACAATCTGATTGGGCTGGGGTTGTGGCTCAGTAGYAGAGCACTTGCCTAGCATGTGTGAGGCTCTGGGTTCAATCCTYAGCATCACATAAAAATAAGTAAATAAAGTCATTGTGTTCATCTACAACTAAAGAAAAGTATATATTAAAAAATACAGTCTGATTATGTAACCCAACAGATGATATACCTTTTATGCCACCCTGATTTGCCCAATAACTTTAGATCCCAAATGGCATCTCCTTAGCAGGAAACATGAAGCCCATTCCCCTTTCCTTCATCTTCTGCCTGCCCTCTTACACATTTTAGTCACTAATATGTAATTCCAAACTTATATATGGCTTTCATGTACTGTTTCCTCAGTCTAGATTCCTTCCCACATTTTCATTTCTCATAAACTTCACTCTCATTGCTCAAATGTTCCTATAGAAAGAGTCCTTTTCCTAATGTCAAAGGCAAAATTTAGTTTTCTGCCCTTGTGTTCCATTAACTCTTTAGAAACCACCATTAGCTGTGCTGTATGCTCCTTGAGGGCAGAAACCACATTTTACACTTTTTTTTTTTAAACAAAAGCAAAAAGCTTTTATTGAAGGCTGACCAACAAGGAAACAKGAGACATGCTCAAGTCTCTCAGTCTGGATTATTGTAAATTTAGCATTTAGTATATATATATATGAATTGAATGGCATTACAGMAGATTTTTACATTTTGGGAGTTGGTACCAGGATTGAACTCTGGGGCATTTGACTACTGAGTCACATCCTCAGCCTTTAAAAAAAAATATTATTTAGAGACAGGGTCTCACTGAGTTGCTTAGCACCTCGCTTTTTGCTGAGGCTGGTTTTGAACTCACAATCTTTCCTCAGCCCCCAAAACTGCTGGGATTACAGGCATGTGCCATTGCACACAGCTTAATTTACATGCTTTTTTTTGAACTTGGAAGACTTAAACCATTTTAACAGAAAATTCTAATTATCATGTCTGTAGTTCTTTTCTTATTTCTACTCTTTATTCTTTGCTTCCCCATCTTCCCAGAATTTCAGACACATGCTTATTGCCCCCGGGGACCCCTTAGCAACCTTTTCATTGCCTCCTTCAAGGATACCAARGTTGTGGTTTCATTGTTCATCTTCTTAAGGCAAAAATGAAAAGAAACAAAATAAAGCAAAACAAAACCCAAAAGATGTTTGAATCCAGAGTTTTCTGCTTGTTTTTCCACTCAGCAACAGGCAGCAGCAATGTGAGCATTCAATCTAAATTCTGCCTAAAGGTCACTGAGTACAAGAGCTTTTAATAGCTTGTTCCAAATATAGTTTCAAAGAACTGATCTTGTGGACACAGGTGTCCTAGAATGCACTATAACATTTGCCTTTGAAAACTGACCCATAGAGTATCAACATAGACCCACAACCTTATACAATTATAATTACAATTTTAATTATAATTCTCTCTCTCTCTCTCTCTCTCTCTCTCTCTCTCTCTCTCTCTATATATATATATATATATATATATATATATATATTCACATAAAATTAAATATATATGCTAGTATTAAATTTGATGGAAATGTTACCCATATTTTAATAGCTTTCCATTTTTATGGAACTTACAAACCAAATAAGTTTAAAAAGTACCCCACATCTTTTATGATGATTATGATTTTTAAAGGTAAAAATCTACCATTAGAATCTATAGGTATTTATTGAGAGTTTCTAGTATTAGACTAGGAATTGATTGCCAAAACAGGATTGGGTACATAAAACAGGATTCCTGCTGGGCAAGTTGGTTTGAACCTGTAGTCCCAGGTACTCTTAAAGGCTGGGGCAGGAGAATCATTGGAGTTCTGGAGTTCAATGCTTGGGCAATACAGAAACAAAATGGAACAAAAACGAAACTAGGATTCCCATTTTTATGGAACTTGAAATAAATTAGGAAAATAGAATACATACTTAAAAAGAAAAAGTATATAAAATTGTTAAACCATGACACAAAGAAAAGACCTCCGACTCTAATTTTAAATAAAATTTAAACAAGCTTGTGGGCTGGGGATGTGGCTCAAGCGGTAGCGCGCTCGCGTGGCATGCGTGCGGCCCAGGTTTGCTCCTCAGCACCACATACCAACAAAGATGTTGTATCCGCCGAGAACTAAACAAACAAATAAATATTAAGCAAGCTTGTAATTATGGCCAGGACTGTCTCTCCCGAAACCCCTGGGCCAGAGAACAGTACCCCAGCTCTCTAGGGGCATAGTTTTATAGTACAAAAAGTTGCAAAGTATGGTATCTTGTGAACTTACAGTTAACAGGATTTTTGACAAGCATAATACAAAGGCAGATAATAGGTTAATGATCTACATGGCTTAATATTTCAAGGTAGGGAATAAATTTAGATACCAACATTAGAATTTATGAGGCGCCGCTGAGGTTTCAGAGAGGGTTGTTATCTGGTCAGGGAAAGCCAGGCTTGGGTGAGTTCAAGGAATGGGCAGGCATTCCAAGCAAGTTTAGATATTGCAGTAATTTRTAGTAAAACAGAAATTAACTTTTCATGACTTTGTGACTAGATGGCTCCCAATCTTAAGATGGAATTAGGCTGGGTTCATTAAAATGTTATGTGCTGGGAAGGTATAAACCATAACTTTGAAGATGAGACAGTAGGACATTGAAATTTTTGATCAAAATAGGGAAATGCTTACACTGAAGGTGGGACTTGGCTTTGTCCTAAAGGAAAATGTAGTTCCTTGGTTGGGAAGAGTGTGAAAGGTATTTAAGCTGGAGAAATTGTATAAAAAAATTAACAGAGGAGGCAAAGTAAACTATATGTTCAGGTAACTAACTGTGAATGTGAAAAACCAGCCTCTATCTCAGGCAAAGCCTGTCCAATGAAAGGGCATGACCTTTGTCCTTGGAAAGACCCACAGAGCACTCCTAAGCACATTCCCACTACGTTGTTTATCTACAAATAACAGGAGAGATCTGCTGTGCCAGGTGTCCCTGACTCAGTCAGGCTAGGTGGAGATCCATAGCAACCCCTAGCAGCCACCAATCAGCATGAGACAGGGAAATACCTGGGATGCCAGATGACCCTCCCAGTAGTTTATGATGGTTGATAACGTGTTGGGAAACCATGTAGTTCAGCACGAACTCCCCTCTTGGCTTAAACCAATCAGTTCAAATGAATCCTCCTCTTGTACTCACCAATCACTCCTACCCAACTTTTTCCAGCCTGTGAATGTGCTAATCATATTTTAGAGTTGTTGTTTGATTTTCCCGAGGTGTGTGATGATTTGCTAAAAGATGCTACGATGTATGTGGGGGTCCCTGCCTTTTCCAAAGAATGTATAAAATCGCTGCAAACCCTGGGCTTGGGGCCTCTCAGCGTCACCAGTTGCTGTGTGTGTGCGCGCGCGCGGAGGAGGACCGAGCTAGCTCGCAATAAACACCTCTTTGCTGCTTATATCGATCTTGGTCTCTGGTGGACTTTTGGGGGTCCTGAATTCGAGCATAACAAATGGGTATGTGTTGAAAAGGATTCTTGTGAGCTCAAGAAAATAACAACATTGAAACTGATAAGAGCCAAGTCATATATGTGCTCATTTATTAAATAATGTTAATTTATTCCGTATCTATTGAACATCATAAATATTAATTGATTGGATAAAACCTAGAAATGAATGAATAACACTATTCCAAGCACTGGGAAGAAAATGATGAATGAGGCAAAATTCTCTTCCCCAGGGAGCATACTAATAAGAAGGCAGGAAATAAGGTTTAAAAAAGAGTAGTTAGGGACTTGTTTTAGGCAACTTTTTCATTACTGTTGTTACCTTTGTTTTATTAGTCCTTTTTCCCCCAATGTTGAAGTATAAGATGAGAGAAGCAYGCAGAGGCAAGTTTAGAGTGGAAAGTAGAAGCTTTATTAAAGGACTGCAGAAAAGACTTCTCCCCGGAGGAAAAAGGGGACCCAAGAGGTGGAATCCGTGGAAGGGGGGGAGGTCTTCCCTCTTTTATAGCTAAAGTCTTCATCCAGCTTTCCCCCCCATTCTGGTCCTTTGCACTGTTATCTTACAGTGATGGAATGTAGGTGGGATGGCCCAAAGGGTGGGGCATAGGTGGGACAAAGGAGTAATCTGGGCAGGAAGGACTTTTGGATTAGCATCTCCTTGTTTGCTAGCAGCTGTTTCATTAACATTTCTTTGGGATGGGTTCTGGGCCTTGGGGACATTAATATTCCAAGTGTTGTTCTGCTTTTCCCAGACTCCATTCTCAATATGGCCTTCATTTTCAATTTTACTGGCTATTAGACCTGATTTATCTAACTACACTGACTATCTATCTTTAAATCTGGCTTCACTGTGACCAAAATACCTGACAAGAACAATTTTAGAAGGAAAAGTTTATTTATCTGGGGGCTCACACTTTCAGATGTCTCAGCCCACAGATGGCTGACTCCATTCCTTGGGGCCTGGGATGAGGCAGAATATCATGGTGAAACTGTGTGGCAGAGGAAAACAGCTCAGCACATGATGACTAGGAAGTAGACACTGCCACATTGATGTTCATAGCAGCACAATCCA